TTAAGTTGAAATTATTTAGAATTTGTTATTTTATTTATCAACAATGTTTAAAAGTAGAGTCAGTTCAATCAATTTGTACGTTAACGTCCAAGTGTTGTATGAAGTTCAAGGCGAAGCTCTTGTGACTGTTAAAATTTTCTGAGTATTTTTGGGGAAGGGTTCTAAAAGAAGGGAGTAGTGTGGTATTATGGTAACATTAACCTAACCAGGTTACAGCAGAATAACCTCAGTCACGGCCACTAGTGATCACTATGGAGGCGACACCTACACTGAAACCCCTGCACCATTTAATTGTTTTACGATCGCCTTGTTCTTGTTGTTGTTATGCCAAACACTGAATAAATAGAGGCGCGAGCCTTTGACTCGTCGCCATTTACCACTCATGAGTTCTGCTGTTCACATGATCTTGGCTCTCCCGTAACCCCCAATACTAAAGTATTCTGACTTTTAAAATCTTTTATAAAACAAAAATAAAGTGTAAAATGAATTACAGACACTCAGTTATCTTAGGTCGTCATGGGTAAAGTATTTTACATGTTTAAGATACCAGAGGTTATGTGACTATTCATAGGTAACTTCGTCACAATCATCATCTGTATCATCCAATTCACATGTGCTAGATGAAATACTGATATCATCTTCATATTCGCAAGTCTTGTTAGCTTCCAATAAATTCTTTACCTCGGCAGGAAGGTCATTTGCATTTTTGTCAACCTTTGCTGTTGGTTGTGGAATGTTATTCCATAATTTTAAAACTTCACTCAAGTAATCATCTGTGAGAAAAAAATTGGTCAGTTATGCAAAGAATACAGGCAAGAGTAAATTCTGTAATGTTATGTTATAAAATTTAAGAAGAATACAGTTTTCAAGTTACTTACTAGGTTCATCTCCTGACTGGTTACATCCTGCTTCTGCTTGTTCATTTTGAGTTGGTGGACAGTCAGATGATTGTTCATGTATCACTTGAAATTCAACATCAGCCCATTTATTGTAGGCTGTAATCAGTTCTTCACCTGGTTATGCAAAGAAAAAATTGATAATATTCAACTGTTAATACTTTGAGTATGCATAAAACTGTTTTGAAACAGACAAATCTTGCAGTGTGGTAACAGGTCCATTTGAACACTATTGTCGGTTAAAAGTGCTCTGTACACAAGAAATGGCTGTTGATTGCTGGAGATGAGGCTCTTCAGAATTGCTATATCCAGTTAAGAATTGGTCGTTTTCACGCTTAGCGCAGCGCTCGCTCACGCCGGCGTTAGGCGGGCGAGGGGCAGGGTGCGGGGAGGCAGCGGCGGAAGAACTGCTAACCCTCTTCGCCCCCCGCTTCCCCTCTCGCCAGCGAGAGCGCACGCTGAGCGTGGAAACGACAAAATTCTTAACTGGACATAGCAAATGTCTACAATTTTTGAATGCAATGCATCGACATATTTTCGTGGCATTGTACATTTGTAGTGTTCTTCCTTATTGTTTATGAGTGACAGCGTTAATCCAGGTGCATAAGTATCATGGTGGGTACTCTCAATTGATGAAACTATGTAAGGTTTGTGTACTTCTAAGTCACACATTCTTTTATACACAACGTGGTTATTATTGGAATCGTTGACCTTTTTATAAATCTATAAAGAACAGAATATTCTAGTTAGAAAATTCACCAGAACACATTGCCGGTGTTATTTCAAAAGGTAATAATTGCGTAGTTTCGATAATCAGTAACTTGAAGTAGACAATGTTCGAAATTTTTCACTTTAACTTTGAAGACGTGATTGTTGTTAATTCGAGATACAGTCACAAGGTCGATTTTTTACTTATTGTATGTGTAACCACGACCTGCTAACTTTGATACAGCGTATACAGCAACGAAACGGTGTGCCGGAGTATATTCCTTTCCTTTGTCCTGTCCAGAGGTCGGCATCCGCTCCCGAACGGGTCCCGCTCTGAGCGCGCGCCGTGCGCAGTAGGTGTGCGAGAGAGACAGAGCGAGAAACCCGATGTAGCGATGGCGATGTACCGAACCTCGCCGAATGCAGCCGAGCGAACGGGACCCGCAACCAGCGGTAACCTCCGTAGAGGGGGCCGTGGCGCTTGGAGCTCAACAACAACAAGAATTACCGCAAACTTGCACCTTGACAGCACAAAATTTTAAGCGCGAACGCGTGCATTCGCTGCCCAATGTTGGTACCATTGGTTTCCGGGAGATTCACATATTCGTTTGTAACGGTTTCTTTTGTGTGTAAGTGGGTTTACAGCAAAAAAAGAAAATGCGCGTTTTTAATGAAAGTTATGGAGAATGGAGAGTCAAAGTACAGTGCGTGTTTAGAAACGAAATATTGTGGAAAAACAAAGCTCATTTTTACCCAAATGGAACTGTCATATTTTTTGCTATTACTTTCAAAGTTTGCTGACAATAAAATCTCCCAATTTCTCTTTATTGAGGCGTGAATAACCTTTCAGGTCCAGATGTTTGGCCAATTGTTTCAAATGGGCCAGTTTCAGGTCTTTTATCTGTAAGTGCAAGATATTCTTAGTCACAAATCTATTGAAAATAATAATGATTTCTTTATTTGAGTAATTGTACTTACCCTTCCTTCTTTTGCCTTTTTAGGTACTCCTCAACCTCAACATTTTCAGCAAGGTTTTGGGAAGATGCAGCTGCAATAGTTGGCCCTAAGAATGGAAATTTCCAGAGATATATAGTAAATCCTACTTTTAATATAACTCAACTAAACTGGTGAACAAAATAGAATTAACAAAGGTCTCGTAAAAATTTGTTGCAGAACTCTGTACCTGTTGCCACGGGAATGTCTGCAGTAGTGACAAGCTGGATTTGGCTGGAAGGGGCCTCAGACAATGTGTCTAGTTGCTCCAAGAGAGCCTCTTCATCCACTGTCGCAGCAAATGGAACATCTTTTTGTGGTGGCTCAGGCTGATGCCCTGGCTCTGCTGCTGCTGAAGTTATTGCTGTTTCATAAACCAAATGGTCACTTATTAGTTTATTTGTCTGATTTGTTTCTTCAATTGCAGGGCTCCATAACTTATTAATTAACTGCCTTATAAACGTTATTTTAAGATTTAAAGTTATGACTTTGAACTTTTACTGTAGTCCTTAAAAAATAACTTCAACTTTTAATTTGACATGTGTTTTGTTACGTTTAGTTATTAACATTCATTCGTGTTATGATAAGTTACGGAGCTCTGCTCAATTGTCAATTATTAGTTCAACATACCAGTTTGTAAAAAACTGAGGCTCGATGCAGACTCTCTCTGCCCCACTTGTATAGGTTCTGAGCAACCCTGCTATTCATAACTGCAAAAAATAGGGTGAAAATAATTTTGAAAATTAAAACTAAATGAGGGAAAAATTAATTGTGCTTTTTTCAGCATCGACTTACCTGACAGTCCAGTAAGCATCTGCCAGTCCTCCTGCGCAAGGTCTCCCAAGCCCAGATCAGGTGCAACGTCTGCTCTCTTTTGTGACATGATCTGTCATGTCACTTTAACTTAACCAGCCTTCCACTGGTCATTTATTGCGGCACACTTCAAAGTTAAAATCCTGGTGATAATTAGTCTTGGTAACATTTCTAAAATTAAAGACTTGTGCTCTTCACATGTCAACCATGACAGAGGTGGTATTACTTTTGCAACCTCCTCCCTAACGCCACTTTTCCAGCCTAATGTCTGCCAGCCTTCTTCAACTTTCTTTTGGGTCTGGAGAAAATAATTGGTGAGGTGCGCAGATGGCTTATGAAGACTTCCTCTTGTTTCTTTTAAAATTTGTTGAAATGTGAAGTCTGATGACAGCACATCTGTTGTCAGGTCACCTGGCACCTACCAGTGGCCTCAAGGACTTTGGTGCAGATTGTCCCACACGTCAAGGAGGGCCCTTGACGGGTGAGTTTGTTGAATGGCCTGGGAGGAGGATCAGCTGGATCATGGGCCCGGAGCAAGCCAGGGGTGGCATCAGAGTGGACACTTTGACAATTTATTGCCACCTCCAACAAGGCCACAAACTCATTCATTTTTTTCTCATCAGCCTGCTCACAGTTTGTCCCTCGAACTTTGGCAGATAGCTTCTGGACCAGGACAGTTTTCATGCCACCCACAAACTGAGGAATGGTAGGATTGTCATTACTACCACATGTGGACCTTATTTGACCAAAATAATTTTCCAAGTGATCCTGGTTGATATCCCGTAGGTTTTATTTTTTTACTCCTATTTTTTGCAGCCTTATCCAGAGTCTTTACAAGCTCTTTAAATTTTCAGAAAAGCCATGAAGGCAAGGAGGCACATGTATAACTCCATCTTCTTTCCGAATAAACCGCCATTTCTTCAATTTGAATATTCTAGTTAGAAAATTCACCAGAACACATTG